GGGGGGGGTCATCACGGGCGTGAGAATACAACACAAAAGGAAAACGGAAGAACTCGAACCACTCGGTGCACACATCTACGCAGCTGTTTAGCCAACGTGACACTTTTTGGGCATGTGAGTGGCCTGTGACAACCGACCGTGTCCGCGCCAGTTGGACCGACACGGATGTAACAAGGTACTGAGCGGAGACCGGAACGTTTTATTTGTGCGAGTATACCAACAGCAACACCAACAACCCCAACACTTGTACCGGAGCAGTGCAGCCGAACCGTGCTGATGTCTCACACGCAGCGAGTACAAAATAGGGTCGCGTCGCCGCTAACCACGGAAAAAGACGGCGGAAAGGTACAACTAGGTGGTGGATACCCACGAGTCTTATACCCCATCGCGAACGCGTTTAATATCGAGGAAGGAGGGCGGATTGCAAGTTTTGCCCCGGTCCGCAGGCACACAGGAGGGATGTCTGAGGCATTGCTTCGAGCGAGAGCGGTTGCACTACCATGGGACCAACAGACGGCGTGGTATGCAACGTCGAGCACGTCCGCTGGGAAACGAATAAGTCTTCAAGAACCAAGGACACTGTAGGGGGAGTACACGGACTTGCCGACAGTCAGTGGCGTTTTTTCCTCGTTCCGGCGGTCACAACGGTGTACCAACAACAACGATCACACGGTGTCAAATCTAAGAAAACGCGCAGGGCCATATAGTAACCCTACCACAAACATACGACCATGCACCAGGAAACAGCGGCTACCACTACAAGCCTTGCTGGGGAATGCTAAGCACACTCCTCCCCTCAAAAATCACCATAAAACACCGAGGTTGGGGACCGATTGCGCCCTCAAGGAGCTCCAACTCAGTGTCGTCGTGCGTGGTACGGCCCCTGTCCCCCAAGTCTTTGGTGCCACCCCCGCAAGGTAGGGAAACATAGTCACAACGCGAAGAACTGGGCATCTTCCAAGATGCGGCATGTACTGGACTCTGCACCACTGCCCGGCACGTTGAAAAACGATTTGGGGACCGCAGCGACGCTCGGAGTTCTCTGGCCGACTGCTGCTTACGCTGCTGTTCTCTCTCTCTCACACGTTCTCTTTCTTTGCTCGATTTTCTCTCTCTGTCTCTCTCTCTCACCTGGTGCGTGTTGTGGCCATCGCAAACGTTGCACGTGAAGGAGAGAGTGATCTTGCGATTTAACATGACGTGACCAACCTCAGCCCCATCGTCGTCCCCCTGCTTGCATGCATTCAAGGTATGCACCGAGAAACCGGGCGCGCACGAGGGGGGGAGGGGGTACGCATGACGTAACGCGCCGTTGATATCATAGGAAGTCTTGGTGCTACGAAAAGCCGAGGCACACGAACGTGGCGGTTAGTATCTGGACCAGGCAGGTTCCTGTTTGACTAAATAGGCGCTAAATTTTCCGTCAGAGGCCTTTGGCAAGGCGAGTCGCATCAAGGGCAGCAAGCTATTTCCCACACGACCTTACATGCTCGCAAGCCCGACTGCACGGACTTTTGGATCGCTCGCTTCACTTTGATTGCTGTGTGCTGTACTTTCCGCCGCATCGAGAGAACCCATTCCTGACCATCTCATCTACAGCCAACACCAAGCGTTTTCACATTCAATCCTTCCCGCAGCATTTGGTACAAGGGTATATTCATAGTTGGCAGTCCGACCATGCCAAACAACCCCCCCCCTCCCCCCCGGTGTTTGCCATCGGGGTTGGGTTTTCGTCGCTTGGCAACGACGTTGTAAAACAAGCCGCCCCTCCC